TCTAAATTAACCAAATATAAATATTTCTTCTTTTCCCATAGTTAATGAATATTGTCTAACTATGATTGAGTAATTTATAGTATTTAGACAACAAACTGCTCCAGGATTTATAATAATATCCATGATCATACTTTATGTTAAAAATACAATAAAGATAGTTCAGCAACTACCAGACCACAACAAATTCAAACTAATTCAATCACCTTGAGTCCACTGGCCATGAACTACCTTGGTGCCTTTCTGACTATCCAAAGAGTTTTCACTCTTACTTCCTGCAAGCCTTATTAATATTAGGATCATTTTACTCTTAAATCAACTGACTTTATTACTATTTCTTTACTTGAAAAACTTCAGCAGCAGCTAACTATCATTTCCAATATTACTTCAATTAACAAGAGATTATATCTATTTACTTTTCATATTGTCTTGCATGCTCCTATACCTTAATTTCTCTTTTTTTTTTTTCTTACTATTTTCTTACTATTTTCTCTCTTTTTTTAGTATTCTTCTATTTAATATTTTACTTTTTTATACTTTTTAGGCTTGAACTAGCTCTCCTATCCCTTCTCAATTGAAATCATCTTGTTTGGTCGAGTTTGGTTAAGAATTGGTTTAGTTGTTGTCTTTTTTGACTACTGTTGCAATGTGTGTCACATCCCGGTACTGTGTCATATCCCGGTGATTTACATTACCAGAGTCATTTGGAGACTGGTTTATGATTGGTTAATAACAACTCACTGGTCAAGTTAGTTATCTTCATCATTCACTCTAAGCTATATATATAGAAGAATTATTGATAAGTCCTTTGACAGAGCTGATCACTCCAGTCAGAAAGAGAACAGGGAAGTTGGTTTTCAGAGTTTAGTGGAGTCAGCACTTCAAAGATACTGAATCATTAGTATAGCAGGTCCTTATTGACTACAATCCCAATAATTCTGCCACCGTGAGGGGTGCTATCAGAAAGATACAATGAGATAAACAAACCCACTGTCCAACATCCAAGCGCGCTAAGACCATGCTGTGGCGATAGCACCAAAAGTGCAATCTCCCGTACGTACTGTGTAAATGAATGGAATGTAGCCTGATTGTGCTACAGAGGGTCCTTGAGCGATTCCAATACCGTAGTTGGTATCTATTCCGCAGTAAGTTATTTGATAAAAAGTCTGGTTCTGGGGCGGGCTTGTCGGAAATCATAGCTGGGTTACAAATGCAGCTTTAGCTCACCAAGGGGTGCAAAACATAATGATTTGAGAAGTGGGAAGGGTTCCTATTTATGTGGCGTAGGCTCCGCAAAATGCCTCTGATTTTGGGTTATGGTAGTGGGGGGAGGTCGATTGTTTTTCAATTGCAAAAGCGGTGTTCATCAAAGTGCTGAATCATCACTTTCCGATTTGGGTCTAGGGTGACAGTTTGATAAATGGTTGGACGGTTTCATGGTGCTGTTCCACCGGTCCATAGAAAACAGAAAGAACAGACTGAACATTAACTTACCATGCCCGCTGGATTTCGGCACAGGTACTGTAGGTAACAGTGAGGCGGACTGACTTCCAACCTGGCATCGCACTGTACGGTACACAGCAGCAGGGTCTGCTCCTTTGGTGTGGTGCGGGAGAGACAGGATGTGCTCAACTAAACATGTTCCGAACGAAAACAAACACTCTTGGCGCCGTAAAAACTGGAACAATTGAGAATGACGCTGCTCTCACTGTACGATGTCCAGAATTTCCCCCCTTTTGATCGGGATGAGAGGGAAAACAAAGCGCAAAGATTCTCTTTTAGCCCTCTATCGAGATAAGCAGAAATAAAAGTACAATAGACCTTACCAGAAGAGGCAATTCCAACGTCCTACCGTATCATATCTATGATGGATCTCCGGTTATTCCGGGTTTATTATAGGGTCTGATAGGTTCGGGAAATAGTAACCCGTGTCAATGATGCCCCTTTGGTTAAATTTCGTATATGACCCAGAGCCCGATATAAGTCTTCCTTTTTCTCCTTTTTCCCCGCCAGAATTCAATTGAGCTTCGTGAGGATGGAAGGGTGGAGGGTGTCACGGGTTGTATGAAACAGGAGATGTCCGTATCTCACGATCTCGTTAAGAATCAATCTCTCCTCTCCCACATCCACCTCAGGCCGCCCTGTAGGAAGAAAAAAGAAGGCACCAATTTTTGTGTACTAGCACAGTAGCCTTTACTGTAGTTCCGGGGGTTGTCCACCCGTCCATTTTATCCCTATGCTCTAAGCTATCGCATCGCCCCCCAAAACAGTAGGGATCCTCTGAAAGAAATCACCCAAGCTAAGCCCAAAAGCGCACCACCCGTTCGCGCAATCCGCAATCTCCTCCGGTTTTATCGATCTGGGGGATCTCCATGATTCGTTTAAGCACATCCCTCCCCCTTCTCAAAAGAACCAATCTGCCATGCACCCCTCTTCCACTCTCTCCGAAATACCGGTACAGTACTCGTACGTACGGTGCCGGTGTATACACTACCCTTTTTTTCCAGAGTAGGTAAGCTACTCTGCTGCAGGGCAGGACTTAGCCTCGGTTGTATGAAAAAACCAAGACAGTCACCTACCAGTGCATGATATGATGGGTTCACGTTACAATTTCCCCTCTCCTCCCATTCCCTCGCCTCGCACTCGGAATGGCATCCTTACTGAGGAGACCTGCATGCTTCTCGAAGGCGCTCCGCCTGCCCACTCCCCGGGTTTCCGGGAGCCAGGCTGTTCTAATCACATGTTCGTTTACTAATATAGAGGCATGAAGCCTGTCCGGTCCTGGTAGGATTCCTGACAGGCCAAGGAGGCAGGTAGGTTGTCTCGGTGAGCAGTAGGGGTAGCACATCGATGATATGGTATCGGTACACAGGGTGGGCTGTTAATCTACTTATCAGTGATAAGTGCCAATGCGCTCGTACGGCACTATACTACCGTTGGTAGCGCTAGAGTGTTAACGCATGTTAGTGCACTATTGTACTGTGGCCATGAAAAAATTAGATTCTTGTATGCATTCTGTTGTGGTCCCGAATATAAGCACTCCACAGAGGGCCAGTGGCCATACTGGATGTTGTAGGCCTCTCCGGCAACAAAGCCTAGATTCATGTCTTACCCAGTAGGCTTTGGCGATGCTAGTCGGGGGCCTTGAGGATCGGGGATGCTGGGGAGGTGTCATGTTCGGAACAGGAGGAGAGAACGGGAGGAAGTGGGAAAGAAACTACCGCCCCGGAAAGAGCGGGGTGCGGATTGTGTCGGCTCTGCGAAGTGTTCCTCTCGCCTCTTGGTGGTAAGTGCCGGTGTTTTATATTCTTCTGCGCGGCCACTTTACTGTACCTGCCGTAGTGATAGGATCTCGCGACTTTAGAACAGGCCGTAAAGCAAGTAATAGAGGAAACACTATTACGGTGCTCAATCCACACAATCTCCTCACCACTCGGGTGCTGCGCCCAAGAGGTCTGATTGAGAGAATATTGGGATGCGGAGAGCATCCTACCTTAACTAGAAATAAATCACGAGGGTTTTGAACTGAGACCTATTCCGCCGATCTCTAGGGTGCTCTGACGGACTAAGGCCTGTCACAGGGGAAGCCGAAGTTAATCCCCTAAGGCACTATGCCCTTCCCGAGTATAGTACAAGTACCGGTACCTCCGGTATGATATCATACCGTTATCAGTCGCTCTGGTCTCCGGGGCAATTCCTCATGTCTCCATCCCGATATGCTCCCCCGCCAAACCCCCCCAAATGTTCCTCTCTTCAGATTTGTAGATACCGGTAATATCATAAGGGCAGGATTCGGGTGGCGCAAGATGGAAGCTTTCCTTAATTGGCCCAGCAATGACCGCAGATCTTTCCGAGCTCCATGGAGTCGTGAGGTATCGCGGTCGCACAACAATGCGTACGCCCATTTATAAATCCCATTCACATCACGCGGGAGAATCGGCTGAGGAAAAGATAGGCGGCAACTGGGCAGAAACCCTGGTAAGCCATTCCCGGGCGTGCCTACTCCGTATGAAGTTGGGAGACATAACCCTTGCCTCCATAGAGATCTGTATGGGGTCAGCAGAAATGGCTTTCCGATTTTACTGACACACCCGACTGCATGGTCACAGTGTAGCAATTTTGCCCCCCCTCCAAAAAAAAATCCACCTGCAGACGACAAGCAGGACGGCTTACCAGAAACATCACCAATAGCCTGACATATTTTTTGATAGTTGTACCGGTAGGTCACTTGGAGATCTAGCTGTAGCCTCCAACTCTGCGATCTCCTAAGAGAAGATCAGAGATGGTGGCTTGCGGGGGAGGGAGCTGGATCTTCGGGTTAATTTGTACTCGAGTACGTACTGTACTGCACTTGTATGGTGTAGAGGGTAGGCTCATTTACCAGACTTTCATGCAACACACTTATCCGGGAGCCTAAACAACCGGTCCGTAGGATACCGGTATGGAGGGGCATAGGGGAAAAGGCCGAATGTGTCGCGGCGACCATACCTGTGCCTCTATTATCGGGGTCTGGAAATGAGACTGGGGTATCCTTGGTGTGAGGAAGATATTTCTGGGTGCGTTAACAAGAATTTTTGACTATAGAGGGTGGTTACAATACGTTACCAAAGTTTGCAAAACTTTTCCTCAGCCATCCGGATACCAATTCTCACTCCCAGTCTCATATGTGCTGCCTCTGTGTCCCCTTCAAGGATAATAGGATACCGGCGGCAGCGCCCTTGGGTTGGGATACGGCACAGTACTGTACCAGTACTCGTACAGTATTTTGTGACCCCGGTGGCGAAATAGCTTGGCCGCCGGGGGGACGAAACGCTTGGCGAATCAATAAAGGGTTATTTAGCAAGCTTTGCGACTTGCCCCGTGCGCTAGCTAGTTTGGTAGCCGGTGATCAATGATCACATACCGGTACCAGCGCTCGTGCTCGCATTCAATCCCAACGAGATCGGCACGGTTTTCCTAAGAGTAGAAATAATTCCTCCAAGGTTTCGACAACTTAAGATCGCATGCCTGAGATTCGAGATACTCTATCTGTCCTTCGTTTCTTCTTTCAAGAAACTTATCACGCAAATCGGGGATCCGGTTAGGGTGCCGCCCAAAGAAAAAGAAAGAGGGAGAGGGAGACAGGGAGAGAGAAAGAGCCCCCCTAACTCCCTGTTTGTTATGAGAAGATTACAGAATATCACGACACGGGAGCCGAGTGCCAACAATCACAGGGCTATCTCCGGCCTAAAAACTCAGCCCTACAAGTCGCAGGGGCCGCTTTTGGGTCTAGGAACAGGGAGATGTAGAAAGGAAGAAAAGAGGAAAATGGTAATAAGGGAAAAAAACAAAGAGGAATGAAGTCAAGTATTGGCAACACAACTTTGGATCCCTGCCTATATCTTTGCTCAACCTACACACCGCGATAGGCCAGCTGAACCTCGGTAGGTACGAAGAGTGCTTCTGTGAATACCAGAAGACTTTTTTTCGATGAAAAAGGGCCAATTTGTACCTTTTTCATATTTACTTGCCCCAAGCTGGAAAAACCTCCCCCAAAAGACACGGATTAAAAGAAATATACGTGAAAAAAAAAAAAAATTCTGAGCGTACCTAAGCACCAATGCGGGGGATACCCCCTTCTTTTTGAGTACCGTACTTCTCGCCTGGGGCAAGTACTACAATAGCGGTGTACTGTATAGTACTCGTGCTCGAGTATATTACTACAGTAGTACTGTACGAGTACTCGTACAAGCAGTGGGAATTACTCGTATGGCTCTCTTGTCCCACCATCCCCGGCCCTCCACACACCCACTTTTCCACAAATCTACCGTACCGGTATGTCTACAACAGAACTTTCGATTTCGACCACACACACCAGCTACCGCAAACCTTCCTCCCTTTTCAACTAGCATGCTCCGGAGTTCCCATGTCTCTAACAACGAGGGTTTTATGCATAATACGGCTGGTCGGTGCCTCGAAGGGATGGGGCCAATGCGGGGCAAAGAAATGAAAAAAGGAAAAGAAAAAAAGACAAGCCCGCTCCCGCCCCTTGCCCATCCAAGAGGTAGAGGGATTATAGTAATTAGTTAAGGAGGCTTTCCCTAAGATCAGCAAGAGGTACTTCTGTCCCTGCCCACGGTACTTTCCTAACCCGGGAGGGAAAATCTTACTTTTAGATGGGGACTTGCATCTATTTTTTGTTAAATCCTTCAATTGCCAGGGTTTGGGACTTGCATCCAAATATTGGTAGATACATGCATTATAGGACCCCCCCCCCTTTCCTAGTGCCTTGCCTTTAGTCTTTATTTAATATCTGGGGATTCCCGCCCAAGAATTAACCAAATCCAGCGAGCCGGATTCTACAAATCGGTAATATATATACCTCGAGGGCGGCGAGGTTCGTACCTCCTTTGGCTTAGCTTTCCTGCAGGCGCTTTTGTGAAAGTGGGGGAATTTGGTTCTGTGAGGAATAAAATAGAAGGTTTGTGTGCCTGTCTTGTTATATCGATTGCCCTTTGACGGTCTGATGCTTTGACTGACCTGAGTTGAAGCTTCACGATGACGCGAGGTCCGTTACTCTTCGCAGTGGTGTTCCCGCTGCTGCCGTTATCGACGCTCTTTGTGTGCTTGAGGTGAGAATTGAATATCCCTCTCCTGCCAGGCGAAGCTTGTGCGGAGGCTGATTTTTTTCGTCTTAATTGGAGATTCTATTGCCGGTACTTTATTGTGCAAAATGTCGGGTTAGACGACTGGATTATGCTGGTAGCATTGGTATGATTTGCTGAATCCATACTCTGATTGGGGCCTTCAGTTAACATAGGAAATAGGTGAGTGCATGGCAGATAGGTTCGTCAGAGACCGGCCCGGACCACTTACAGACAAGCACTAATTACGGGCAACTTGCGCAGGTGTGATTAATGTTTATCAAGTGAAATATGGTTCAGGGTGAGCGCTGACTACGCGAAATCTCCGACCCTTTAGGCCATCAAAACTAACTATGAAATAGAACACACATGAAGGATCTGGTGAGCATCCAAAACGACAGAGCGGGATATATTGGATGCTAATCCCTTCTTAAAGCCATTTACCCCGGATTTCTTCGTCAAAACCTTGAAGGTATGGTACGCCTACCAGATAGTGTACTTAATCGCCCTATTCTTCGTCAAGATCAGCATCTTGGCATTCTATCGAAGACTTTCGCCAGCGCAAGGGTATCAAACAGCAATCAAGGTAGTGGCGGCAGCTGTGACTGTATACACGATAGCAATGGTTTTCGTAAATGTGAGTCCAGTTTGGGCCAAGAAAACCTATCCTCACGAGATATCACTTGGAGGACATCGGCTAAGGTTGGATTCGACATTTCTATCTAGGCTTTTGAATGCCCAAAGGATCCAACTCTTGCCTGGGCACCAACATTCCCAAAGGGGTGCAACAACCTTGTCCCTGTCTACTATGCACAGGCCGGCTTCAATATCTTCTCTGACCTCGTCATTTTGGTTCTGCCTCTTCCTTCACTGATAAGGCTTCAAGTAAGCAAACGCAGAAGAGGTATGTGGATCGCATCTACTATGATGTACTTGGCTGTCACCCTACCCGACAGGATGCTGATTTACCTCCAACAGTGGCTCTTGTAGTCGTTTTTTGCATTGGCAGTATTGCTGTGATTGCATCGATAGTGCGCATCAACGCCCTGTATATTTTCCAAAACTCGAAGGATATTCCTTGTAAGACCTACGCTCCCCTAGGGCTTAGCTGAATTGTGGCCTTGCGGGGTAAATAGCTAACGAGTATCATAGATGATGGAATATTCATTCTTATCTGGTCACAAGTCAGCCCCACCTTTAGAGCCCGAACCCTCCCATACCCTTCGAGATACTATCCAGTTTAAGTCAACCCCAATACTGAAAAGCCCGAATTATAGGTCGAAATCAACGTCGCCATCATCTCCGCCTCAGCACCCGGTATCCTCCCACTCGTGAGATATATCACCGGCAGCAGCAAACCCGGGAAATCTGACGATTATTCCTACCCCGCATCCCCCAAGAACCAAACATGCCACATAGCCCTGCAGTCGCTCGGGGGAGCTAGGCGGGGGGAAGGAGCAACGTCTAATATTACGGGTGGACGGGTAATCTTGAATGAAAGCGAGGAGAACATTGTCACAAAGAGCGGGATTATAAGGACTACGGATGTGAGGGTAGAGATAGGCACAGGGCGATCAGAGGAGAGCTTGAGGGACTTGGAATGGGGCAATGGGCGTTGATTGACTTGGGCTGTTCTCCAATGCTCTCTGGATCCGACGCATGAGATTTATCTTTGGCATACCGCTAGTGGGAGGAGGGAATTTCCATCCAATGAGTTTTAGTTCCTCCTCTGGTTTTCTACACTTTACTTCTATTTCCTAAACTCATACCTTAGCTAGAGGTGGGTTTCGCCAGGTTCTCTTTTTTTTTGGGTTCGGTTTTTATTTCCCTCGTTTTAGCGGTAACAAAGAGGCCAGCTGCGCACCGGTAGATCAGAGATCCAGGGCCAGGAGTTTTCGACGTAAACGTGTACATGTATATTAGTATATGCAAGTATTTAGTTAGATATACATACTGACCTACTGCAAGGTGCTTGTACAGTCGGTATTATCTCTCTTCCTTTCCTACGTTCTTTCTCTCTCCCCTTCAAGGAGACCGTGTAAGGCACGATACGAGGGCGATCCAAAAAAAAAACGGAGCACTCGTTTCACCCTAACTAACGAATAAACACAAAGCCCAATCCTTCCTGTGCGAGGTATGGTGACCGGCATACCTACAGCAGAGGAACGATGACATGCACCACAATATAATAGCCTTGTTCGTGACTGACCCTGGAGAAGAGTGTCACATCGCAACGATACCGGTACCGTACTCGTATCTACGGTACTGGTGCAGCGAATTGGCGGCGCTGCCGCGGGATACAAGAGAAGGAGGGAAGGAAGAAAAAAAGGGGGGGGAGGAATGGCGATGCCAGTGTCGGTGAAGTCTCATTTCTCCAGTTATGCTTTTGCGAGGGGGGGAAACCTTTTCCGTTTACATCATACGGTACGGTAGCACTCTACAGTACACTGAGATTTAGGTACAGCAGTACAAGTACGGTACAAATTTTCCCGAGTAGGAGGTTATTCCACGCCCTTATTACCGTAGACGAACCACAGCAGTACTCGTACACCTCAAGGGGGAGCGTTGCCCGGTTAATGCTTTCTTACTGTACACCAAGTCCCTCTTATCGCGGGAACGGACACGGGTGATCGGACAACCAGGGATTTGAGGTACTTGTACTTGTATCAAAAGCTCCTGTTTGTTTTAGCCATTTCCATGCCAAACCCATTCTCCAGTTCCCTACCGGTAAGGAGGAGGCCAGGCCTCTCGAATCCCTACGCACCCGGACAACAACGACTACCGCATGATACCTCTCTCTCCTTCTCATCTTCAAATCACGATATAATAACTTACCGCAAGAAAGTCACATCATAAATCCTCACTACCGGTAGTCAATGTCTATATGTACTG